GAAGGGGCAGCAGCGATGGGGAAAAAATCACCTCCACTAAACCAGGTGATGGCAAAGGAAGAGAGGAGGAAATTATTCCCAGGGAATGTGTATTGCAATCGTCCAATCTCACAGAAACCCACGAGGGAACTTTAATATCAGCTGGAGGGGGATCTTCCCTTTTGATACATTGCAGATATTGCTGTTGAAACTGAATTTAACAGGCTATGATGACCATGTTCAAAATCAACCTGTTCATAGGAGCTCGAGAGCATGGAGACCTCCCAGCATATATGTGCTTTTGATGTTCCCTAGTGCAGTTTTGTTCTGAATAAATAGATAAATTTGGGGGTATTGGATACAAATCTTCCCAAAATAGAGAAAACCCAAACCAAAACAATGACAGCTACAAGTCCCAAACCAACACACTCGTGAATGTGCAGACAGCTGCCCATTCCACAGCACTGAACCTCACCCACAGCTAGAAAATTAAATAGGTCTTTAACTCAACCGTATTTACACGTTATATACACAGAATCCACTCAAACTTTACATGTAAACTTTGTCAGATACCCGAAAAAAAAAAAATTAAAATACAAGGTAATATACAGATATTCAAGTACAAAGGGCTCCCAGGTTGTTTTGTTTGCACCAGTGAAAGAACAGAAATAGAGGGTTTGTCCCTGTGTTTGGTTTGCAGCTTCTTTAGGGAACAAAGGTTAAGAATTTGGAGCCTCAGGTAAAAACATTTGGATTTGCTGCTGATCTTCTATGTGCCAAAGGATCTGGCCTAAGAGGCTGGAGAATAATAGCACTGAGACTCTGTCCCCTGTTGTTTGTGTCCTGGTGCTGCTGTGGGTCTGGAGGGAGGGGAAGAGGAGGATCCCAGCCCACACTGGCATTGCTTTGATCAGCTGGAGTTTGGCTTGTGGTGAATTTTCTTCCCTCCCTGCTCAGGTAGTCACAGGCAGCGTTTAGTGGGAGCCCAGTCGTGTGCAGAGGAGTGGGAGGGAAGGAGGCATTCCCTAGGAGGAGGAACCCCTAGAGCATCCTCTCCAGGGAAGACCTTGGTGAACACAGGTCACTTGGCACATTTGCTGGCAGCACATTTCTAGACTCCACCTGCCAAGGTGTCAGGCTCCTCGTGTCGCAGGACACCCACCATGGTTTTTGGAGCCAGCACTGGCAGGAAGGAATTTTTTGCATAGATTGGAAAGAGAGTCCCATTCTGCTCGGATCTGGTGGGTTTGTTCTCCATCTCTTGTCCAGTAACTCTGATCTTGCAGGAAGACAATCCTACGAGCACAGCTATTGCTCCCAGCCTTGTGTAGCAGGATGGGACACGTTTCATGTGTCCCTGCAGACTTCGGAGCTCAGTGGAGGAAGGTTTGGCTTAACAGCTGTTTCCAGGGATCAGGGGATCTTCAGAGGGACCAGCCTGAGGGCTCTGGGGAGAAGGAACCAAACTAACCCAGCCACCAACCAGCCCTTCTCTTTGGTCTTTGAGTGACTGCTTCCCCTGGACACCCAGTCCCTTTTACCTGAGGGAAGCCTGACCCTTTTTGTTCTTCCTTTCATTTTTTGGGGACAGAGCTGTTCCCCAGCCAGGGCTCCCTGAGCGTTCTCCTTGGCACAGCACACACACTGCTCCTCCGTTTCCTCAGGGGCTGTTGCTGCTGTGCTTTGCCCCCATCCCCAGATTTAGGAGAGAAATTTGAAACCCAGGCCTGCCAGGACGTGGGAAGCAGCCTTTTGCAGGGCAGGGCTCTTCCCTTTGCTTTTTCCTCATCTGGAGAGAAGCCCAGCGAGAAAAGAGCTCAGGGGGGTGGGGGTGGCCTTTCTGTGCCTGGCTGTGGAGACCATCCCTTAGACCTGGTAAATCTGCTGGACAGGAGATGGGGAGGTGTGTGGGGTGCCTGGCTCCTTCCCCTCAGCTTCCCACAGGTTGTCATAGCTGAAGTCACTGTGGAAGCTCTGGAGCTCGGCGTAGTCGTGGAAGGCGGCGGAGTCGCGGCGCCGGCACCTGGAATCCGGCAGGTCGTACGTGCCGACGTTCCCATCTGCAGGAAAACAGACCCAAGGGGTCAGAGAGCTCAGCAGCAGCAGCAGCAGCCCGATGGTCACCTTCCCCTTTGCCAGCAGAGAGTAGGAATGGGGGGATGAGTTAAACCACAGCCCAGATGCAACTTGATGTGGGCAAAGCGCGTGTGCCGCGGGACAAGCCACAAGCGCCCGTGTGTGACAGGGGGGCTGTGAGTCAGTGGAAGACATACAGGTGCCTCCACCAGGCAGAGACAGGTCCAGGGCAGGGTGACAGGCAGGGGGCAGGGTGACAGGCTCAGTCCCACCCGGGGAAGCAGGAGGAGTAAAGGGCACCAACCCTGCTTTGAAGGATGCTGATGGAGACAGACACCGGCGAGGCAGGGAGGGTTGAGCCCCCCCAGCACATCCCCAAGAGCCTCACCTGGTGGGTGCAATGGAGGGCCCAGATGTTCCTCTGGCAGAGAAGAGATCTGGAAAGAAAGGGACACAGGGATGAGGATGACACAGCACTGCAGTGCTGGGATGCTGCACACCAGGGAATCAGCCCTCCGTGGTTCCCCACTCCCTGCTCCTCAGGAGGATCCCTGTGTGATCACAGAGCGAAGACCTCTGCAGTGAGACTCTAGTCAAGGTGGGTCCCCCTGCAGTCCGTGTGCTCCCCTGCAGCCAATGTGGGGCTCCAGGGCTGCATTTACAATCTCACCTCCTCAAGGTAAGCAGCTTCAGCCTGTGCCCGCAGCTGGAGCCGGCGGGAGGTGCCAGGGGTGCTGTAAGTGGGAGCTGTGGGCACCTCTCTGCAGTGGCCACCTGGCAGGGGCTGGCAGTTCCATTTCTCCAGAGAGAGGTGCTGCTGGGGTGCAGGGATTGCTGGGCACCCGTTTGCCTGTGCTGGACCCGTCTGCCTGTGGCACTGCAGGAACTAGAGCAAAGCAAAATCCAGGTTGGATGCCTGCTGGGGAGAGCTGGGAAACACTGACCCGCTGCTTCCCACCCGCTAAACCAGCCCTGCTGGGAACACACTTTCTGCCCTCCTCACAGATTCTACCACACCCCAGTCCTGAAGGCCTTGGGTGGGAAAGGGAGGATGGCCACAGACACAGTGGAAGTTGGCAGGGTGTGGAGGCAGTAGGATGATGCCCTATGGCAACCCAGGGGATGCAGAAGGACAGGGAACAGTTAGGAAAGATCCTCTGAGGGAAGGGAGGTCATCACCAGTATGGGGAGTGCCAGACTCAGAAACAGCCTTTTCCCAAGAGATGTGCAAAACAAGAAATGTAGCCTTTAATAGGCACTCACTCACCATATCTGGAATTTTTTGGGGTGGATAAAGTGGTCTCTGTGTCTGACTCATGCCTAGTTTCTGTAGACTGGAGCACATCTCAGTCTCTACCTTTGTTTCGGGGTTTCTGGCTCTTCCTGGGATTATTGTTGTGACACTGGCATCCAGTGATAAGACAGGGGAAACCTGTTCCCCTCTGGCTCTGTCCTGGCTTGAAAAAAACTGGGAACTATGCTGTGCCCTGCCCCACCCCGAAATGCAGGCCTGGAGTTTCCACATCCTGCTCAGGCTCAGGCAGATGGCAGGAAAAGAAATGGCCCCAGGCACAATTTCTGAAGCCAAAAGCCTGTGTGCTGAGTCAGGGCCAGCTGTAACCAGCAGCAAGCACAGGTACCTCTTCCAGGAAGGTGGAACCTGCCCCACTGGGAGCACTGGGGGAGCTGGGTGCGTAGGGATCAGCGTACAAGCGGGAGAGGGGCATGGCCGGCTTTTCCAGGGAGCTGGAAGCTCGGGAGGGCTGCCTTCCCACCGAGCTCCATCTGTTCAGCTACAAGGCAGGGCGGAAACAGGAACGTGGCACGCTGGTCTCTACTTGCAGTTCATCCCCAGGAGGGATTGGAGTGGGGAATCTCCCTGTAACTAAAGTCCCAAACGCTGCTTATCCGTGCGGGATGATGGGACTGACTCCCGACTGCGCTGTCTGTGCTAAGGAGGGGAATTCCTCGATGAACACTCATGGAGGGGAGGGAATCTTGGTATCACACACTAAACAATCGATGGACACATGCTGGAAAACCCTGGGAAGAAGAGGCTGTGTCCTGTGAGGCAATAACACTCCTACTCACCGAGCACTGGCGGTCGTGTTGTCTCGGGAATTACTGCCCAGCATCCCTGGGCTCCGAGAGACATTGCTCCACCTGCCACGTCTAACCTCACCTCCCACGGGCCATTTTCCAGTGGAAATGGATTTCACACCTGCCCAAGAGCACCTGCCAGCACTCCCATCCCTGCCAGTGGCACCGCAAGGAAAAGCTGAACTACACTCCCCTCTCCCAGGCAGGAGGATCCATCCCCCCCAAAACCCACCCCCCTTACATTGCTGAGATGTGACGGGGGAGCTGGAGGGTGACGCTGTGAGTTGTGTGCCGAGTACGGCTCCTTGTACTCCGGGGACGGGAGTTCAGCACTGGGATTTTCAGGAATGAGGCTGCAGATGCTCCTCTCCGAGTCCTGGCTGGGCAGCTGCTGGATGCACGGCCCACATTTGCCCTTGGATTTCCTGGCGCTGCCCCCTCTCCGCAGGTCCTGTGTGGGCAGCCCTGTGCTTGGCCAACTGGCTTGTGCCAGGCACTGAAATGAGAAGGCAGAGCCTGGAGCTGACTTTCCTTGGGCCAGGAGCTCAGCACGGCCCTGCACTCAGGGATCGGGGTTGGTCCTCCCCGGGGTCCCTGCCCCAGGCACTCCTACAGCCCTGGACAAGCAAATGCTGCCCAGGGTCAGATCAAAATCCTGCCCAGCCCATCACCTCCACCCACCTCCAGCTTTTTGCCCTCTTGCAGCCTGTCCAACTGTCAGAGTGGAGGGCAGGTCCATCCCCACGTGCAACCCGGGCTTTGGCGGGGGCTCACTTACGTGGAGGGGCTGGGAATAGCCAGAGGAGAGGGCATCTTCGAGCAGCCTGCCCTCAGGCATCAGCAGGAAGGAGTGTCCGTCGGGCAGGGAGCCGCTGGTCTGGGACAGGTGGGTCACGGTGGTCACTTTGCCCCCCGACGCCCAGGAGTTTGTGAGGCCGTCAGAGGTGAGGGACCCCCTCCCGCTGCTGGTGAACTGCGTGGGGAGAAGAACACGGTGTAGGAGGGACCCTCTGCATGGCCACAGGCACATCCCTCCCCAGCCCCAGCAGTGCAAGCCCAGCACAGCCCTCGGGGGTCCGGGCTGTGTGCCCATGGCCAGCAGTTGCCTGGTGGCCATGCCCAGTGTGTGGCTTGTGCTGGGGTGACCAGGTTGAATGAGGGGGGTGCACGGCAGGAAAAGGGTGCTCAGGCACCCTGACCCATCCCAGCTGCAGAGCTGGCAGTGTGGGTGTCCCCTTCCCTGCTGGAATCACAGAATACCCAGAGTTGGGAGGGACCCACGAGAACTGTCGAGTCCAAGACCCTTTTAATGCCCTCGTGCCGATGCCTCACTGCACGACACTGTCGCAGTCTGTGCCCAGGCCTCTGCTTTGGAAGGAGTTCACTATAATATTGGCCTATAAAATGTCATAAAGGGCTTTAAATAATTGTCAGCTTGCTGACAGCCCGAAAGACGAAATCTGCTGCGTCACAGGAGCGCTCCACGCGCGGCCAGAGATGGGACAGCCCCCGATTCCCATGCGACTGCTACCTGGCTGGGGTGTGGCGGCTTTGATCCTGAGAAACTCTCGGATCCGGAGAGGGAGGAGTCGGCGTTTCGAAACTGGGCCGTGTTGAGGCAGTAGAGCCACTCCTGGTAATCCTCGTAGCTGCGGCAGCTCACCCGGATCGAATTGATCAGCCGGCCTGGGAAAACAGCGCTTGCTGCTCTTACCGGGCTCCACCGGCTCCCTGGTGCTTCCTGGAGAAGCCCGTGGGAACCCTCTCGCTCCGTCCCCTCCCCACACCCTCCCGGGGTCTGGGACAACGGGAATGCTCTGCCTTTGGTGCTGCCCGTTTGCACCAGGCTGGGTGTAGGACAGGGGCGGTCCGGGTCTGAATGAGGGTGAGGGACAACTGTGCATCCCTGGAGCTGTGGTTCCCAGCCTATCCCACCAGCAGAGCCAGGCCCTGCTGCACAGGGGCCCAGATTTCCAGGCAGTGCAGTTCACAGAGCCTGGGAACTCCCACGCCGCTGAGAAGGGGCCGCAGCCGCTCGGCAAAACCGGCAAACCCGACCCCCGGGAGCCTCCGTGGGGAGGGGACACCCACCTTCGATTAAAAAGGAGGTTTTCTCGTTCTCTTCAAAAAGCACCTGGATGGCGTTGAGGGGCAGCTCGCCCTGTTGGAGAGAGAAGAAGCAGGATTGGGACCACGGGGCTGAGCGGATCTCCTGTCCTGCCATAGGGCACTGTGGGAAGGACAACACGGCTGGGATCCCCTGGTGGGGGATAGGGAATCTCAGAGCCTAAATCCCCTAGGCCAGGTCTGCCGGAGACAGGAGGCACACCCAAGTTGCTGCTAAGGTGGGTGAGGGTTTGGGGCCTCTGTACCCTCACAGGGCTGGGGCACAGGCTTGTTGGAGAGCTCTGTCTCCAGCAGATTGTCCCAGTTTGGTGTTTCCCGCTTCCAGTTCTCCCACCACCAGCCTTACTGCAGGAATTAAGCCTCTGGAGCCAGCATGACTGTGGGAGACAGCTTTGTTCTCCAAGCCCCTCCTGAGACCCAAGCTTGGAAAACCACCCCTTCCCTCCTAGTTCTGTTTTCAGCAGTTTAATGGCTGAAATTTCCGACTCCCCCGGAAAACTTTGCAAACGTGGACCTGAGCGAGGCTTCAGTTGCTAACTTGGGACTTCCAGCCTTGCCGAGAGGAATGCCCACCATCCATTCCCTGCAAAGCCTTACAAAGACAGGGCTGAGCCCGGCAAATGCCAGTTGGTGAAACCCGAGCTCTGGTGTTACAGAGGCGCAGTTGTGAACTGCCACTCCTGAGAGGCGAGCGGGGCTTTGCCCCGGGCAGGCACCACACGTCTGCTCCTGTCAGCTGGGAGATAAAGCAGCCTGTCCCTGGAAAATCTAGAGTTAGAAGACCCAGTATGTGTGCCATTGGCCCTATACCTTTTCATGCACATCCACCACCGTCCCCTCTGCCATCACCCCGTGTCCATCCCATATCTGTGCCAGACCGGCCCTGTGGTGACCTGTGGGGTGGGCAGGGACAGGGCTGCCTGTCCCAAGCCCCTCTCTTGCTCTGCTGCCACGTGTCCTTCAAGTGTCACCGCTGACAGCTTAATTCTCTGTGATGGGCAGAAGGGCCAGGGGGGTTTGTCAAGCACTGAATTCAGATCCAGAGCTCCTCTTTCTTTGGAGTAAATTTTCCTTAGAGAAATGAGGCAGGAACAGCCCTGGGAGAGCCACTGAAGCAGATTCTGCACTGGGAACATCACATGGATGATCTCATCCCTTTACATCTCGTCTCTCTCATGCTCTGAGCAGAGGGAAAACAAGGAACAGGTGGCATTTTTGCTCCTGTTCCTATTCCCCTCACCTGGATGTCACCCTGCCTCTGTCTCTGGGCACGGAGCACTGGGCAGGGGCAGCTGGTGGCAACAGCCCTGGGCGCAGCTCCTGGGCAGGATGGTGAGCACAGGGGCTGGGTAGCACTCAGGAAAAAAAGGTTCTCACCTCACTCCACTCTGCTCCATGCCCGGGAGTGGGGGAAATGCGCAAAAAGCAGGAACGAAGCCCTGTTTGTCACTCCGCCCGGGGCCCTCTCCAAAAGGTGCAACCCATCAGGATTCATTTGCCTAAGCTCGGGGGCTGCAATGCGAGGTGTCTAGCAGAAACTCCTCACCCCGCCCTCGCTTCCAAGCCGTGCCAGCTGGAAGGGCTCTGGGAATGTGGCCGACGTGACAACTTTGCCGTGAGGGAACTGCGGAGCACACACCACACGGGTGTCCGTGGTTTGTGTGGCAGCTGCCTCTGCAACAGCCTGCGGGCACAGGCAGGCTCCCGTGGCATTCCTGCTGCCCCAGCAGTGATTTACGGGCTGAGCAGCCCGAGAGGGCTGACCTTGGTTGGGAAGCTCGTGCACTGCTCCCTGACTCCTTTTTTTCCCCCCCCCTCATTGCTGGGGTTTGACATTTCGGCTGGCGTGGGCGCTGCACGGCTGCTGCGCCCCAGCACATCCCAGCACATCCCAGCAAGATTCCTGCCACCAGCACAGCCCAGCAAGCCTCTTGCTGGTAGACTGCACAGGGGCTTCCCCTTGGTGCCTGGTGCTCCATCCTCCCTCAAACAACAGCTCCCTGTCCATGGGGAGGCTGAAACGCCCTCCGGGTAGAGTCGCACCTCAGGAAGCGCAGCAGCATCCCACAAAGAACAAACACGTGGGCTGCAGAGAGCCCCTCCAGCTTTCCCTGGGCACAGTGTGAACCTGCCCTTCCAGCAGCTCCCCCCCCTTGCTGGTTTTCACCTCGCCCAGGGCCTTTTCCCACCAGGGGTGAGCCAGAGCCTGTGGATTTGGGTGAGCCCCATCCCGGCAGGCTCAGCCCCTGCCTTCCCTTCCCCTGTCCCACACACACACACTTGGCAGCAGCAGCTCCTGTGGTTTGTATGAAGCTCAAGAACAAAAGGGCCGGGCTATTCCCTCGCACACAAATTGTAGGGCTCAGCATCTGCTCGCAGGGAAGGGAAGTTAATTTGCAGAAGCCCTGGGAGAAGGCTCCTGTGCCCTGACACGCCTGTGGAAAATCAGGTTCCCAGCGCAGTGTCACAGGCTGGTGAATCACCTCCTGCCTGCACCCGGCTGCGCAGAGCCCCGGGACCAGAGCTCCTGCACCGTGGGAAGAGGGAACATTGCATGGACAGGGGCAGACAGAGCTGGCTTAAGGTTTCAAAAGAGATGAGCTAATCAGAGAGCCCAGCCCAGGGCCCCCTTACGCGGTGCCCCGTTCCCAGGAGCTGCAAACAGCGTGTTCCCGAAAACAAGCTCTGCCTGAGGTGTGTCACACCAGCCACCAGCTGCTGGAAAACAGCCTCCACTGCTGCACTGGGGATGAGGAGAGCTGTGACTGGTCATGTCTCTCCTATTGAGGCACAGGCATCTCCTCTCCAGAGATGCCTACCCAGGTCCTCCCGTGGATAACCCTCGAGTTAAAAGCGTCCTGTGTGATGTGGAACCACGGGAAGGACCCCAGCGAGTTCACGCTGGATTTCACAAGCCCTCAGTCTCTGCAGGGTTCCCCTGTCACTGGCTGCTCTCTCAGTGACTGAGGGATGCTGTTCCCTGGAGGAGCAGCCCAGCTCTGCCCCACTATGTGCCGGTGCTGCCGCACATGGGTTCATGCACAGTTCACTGCTCTTTTTGGCACATTTGTTCCAGCACGGGAAGAAACGGGACCAGAAAGCACAGGGCTGTTAATAAGCCATCACAGTGATGCCCAGGAGCACAGAGTCACAGGGTTGTAAGCTTAGGGAAGCCTTCCAGGATCATCAAGTCCAGCACTGCCGTGTTCACCACTAAACTGTGTCACCAAGCACCAGGGTGGGTGTTGGCAGTCGATTTTAAGGGCCACTCAGACTGCACAGTGCCACTGCCTGTCCGTGCTTGAGGCTCCCAGCACTACTCCCACAAGGCACCCTAGACTAGAGAAGCTGGTCTTGCATCCCCTGGGACACTCAGACCTCCACATCCTTGTTGTCCCTTCTGCTGCCATGCCCGAGGCTCCACAGAGGGAAAGAGCAGCAAACCCTGCTCCAGCAGCAGCCTCTCCTCCCTGCCTGTACCCTTCTCCCCGAGCATCAGATGTGCTGCCTGCATGCTTCCTGCTTCCAAGTGGTCCCCGTGGCACAGAGCCTGGGAAGCAAAGCCCCCCTCAGGGGCTCTCTGGGGCTGTTCCAGCTCCCGTCTCCAGCAGGAGAGCCAGGCTCCCTGCCAGCACCCCCACACCGAAACACGCCAGCCTCCCTCCTCCCAGAGATTCCTTGGCAGCCAGCTCCTTTCCCCCTGGGCTTCTGTAGGAGGGCAAGGTGTTTCTCATGGGAAGATAACTTGCAACATCCCCCCGCCTGCTCACCTGCCAGCTGGCACGGGAGCGGCAGCAGCGTGGAGGGAAAAGCCCTTGCCAACATGAGGGAACACAGGTGGAGGGGAGAAACAAGCCAAAGGAGAGCTGAAATAGCTGCTGTGATTGGGTGAGAGGGAGCAGGGAGATGCTCCAGCATGAACTTACCTTAAACCAGAAGCCGTTATGCTCTTCAGAAACTATCACCAGTGTGGAGGCATAAAGCACCAACACCCGGTCGTGCTGCTCCTTGGAAAGCAAAGAGGGAGAGGGATGTTAACAGCTGTGAACAGCCAGGCAGGGATTGGATGCGGAGAGGCCTTTGCTCTGACAGCAGCTTGGGGCAAGGGCTCTGGAAAGGGCCAAGCTGCTTCCCTGCATTGGGAGATTGCTTTGGAAAGGGCCGAGCTGCTCCCCCGAGCTGGGAGATTCCTGACAGATTCCTGGGGCTTGCGACTGCAATTCAGCAATGACTAAGCCCAAAGAAGCCTCTCTCCAAGATGCAGACAGGTTGCCACCCCAGGAGATCTTTTATAAAGCAGGACCACTCAGAGGAAAGTTTAAAAAGCCTGGGGCCTGCTGGATTCGTGGCATCAGGTGGGCAGGAGCCTGCCCTAGTCACTCCACCCCTCCTGGCAGGAGGTCATTCCCCAGGGCTGTGTGTCCTACCTGGAATGGCAGATGCTGAAGCTTCACTTCGGAGGCACAGAGGACACGGCCCAGGGATTCCCTCTGAGTCCCATTCCACCCCTGGATAGGCATGTGCTGCATGCACCACCGCAGCTCCTCCTTCCCCATGGAGCTCTGCTTCCAGCCGTTCTAGGGACAGGAGCACACTGAGCAGCAGGCAGACCTGTCCTCCCCCGAGTTTATTCACTGCATGGCCCTTCTCAGGGCACTTTTCAAGTGTGGAAGAGGCAGGGAAGAATAAATAAATCAGTGCAGGAGCCAGTCTTCCAGCTGGGACTGAATAATCACTCCTGGTAGCAAACATCGCCCGTTAATTGTCTTTCAGAGGGAGGTGTCTCTGCTTGACAAATGGGGGGATGGAGACAGGGATTAAAACACCCTGCAGAGATGGGGAGAGAAAGTCTCTTGAATGCAGTCCTGTTTTCTAGGTCCCAGTCTCCTCCTCCAGATGTTTTGTCATCTCTGGGGAGTTGCACAACCACCCAAATGCGTGAGAGTTTCTCTGAGCCAGACCCAAACCCCTGACCCTTCGGAGGTTGTGGCGGTGGCACCCACGGGTGGCAGGTCTTCCTTTCGGCACCCACCCTCCCCTGGCTATCAAACCTTGCAAACCTTTCTATATTTTTTTTTTCTTTTTTTTTTCTACCCTTCTGGCACAGGAAACCACACCAAAGGCAAGCTGCAAAGTGAAACCATCCCAGCCTCCCCTGGTGGCTCCAGCTCAGCACGTGGCCGTGAGACACTCACCTGAGGGACGAAGGGCAAGGCGAGGCCACCTCCGTTCAGCTGGATCTGCTTCTCCAGGTGATAAAGCCACTGCTTCAGCTCTGACTCAGTGGGGCAAAACACAATAAGGGGGTTCAGCCGAGGACCTGTGAGACACAGGATGAGCAGATAAGGGCACGGGGAATCCATAAACCGTCAGCGGTGTCTCACCCTGCACGTCACACCACCAGACCATCGCTTTGCTGACGTCGTGTCATGTCGTGAGGTCCTTTCCACCACTCTTTCAGCACATTTCCTCACGTCAGGCTGCCGGGAGCACCTTCTCCCACGCACCAGGCTCTGACCACCAGGCACATTTTAACACCAAACCAGGCCAAGAACAAAACTCAAAGACAGCACGAAAGTCGAGCTTGAACTCAACACACGTGTCAGCTTTGAAAACCCCCAGCAGTTTGCGAGGAGCACCTGTGGGGGCAGGGACTATCACAACTCATCAGAACGTTCCATGCTATCTCCTGCTTTCGCTTTGGCACTCAGTATGTGGAACACCGGTAGCTTTCTTTATTTATTGCTCCACCAAACATAATCTGTGCCAGACAAGCTGCAGCTGACCTCAGACATACCCTTGAAGGGAGGAACAGCCCTACATCTTGTTGATTTTGATGTTTCCAGCCTCCTTCATTTAACAGCATGAGCAAAACAGTCTCACACACCCTCTGCTACTCGCTGCAGACATGACCTAGTGACGGTAATAACCATTTCTGGCAGGATGCAGAATGTATGTTATGATTAATAATTTACCAGCAGTCTCATATAAAACCCTGATTGGTGCAAGCTGGCTCTGTGGGACTTGGAAGTACTGAGATAAGCCCGTGCAGGGCATAAACATGGTACTTTGCCCTTCTTCAGCACCCTAATTCCTGCACTATTTATAAACAACGGTTAATTAAAGACGTTGAAACACTTTCTGCCTTTCGGGAAATGATCTGAAACAAATGTGCATAAACAAAGCAGAGGTGGGGAGGCTGGAGCAGAGACTCCCTGCGTGACTCCAAATCCATTGCAGTAATCTGGTGTCAGGCATTTCCTGGGCATCCAAGTGTCTGTGGACGGTGTTTCCTTCTCCACTCCACCTCCACGCTTCCAGCGATCCTGCAACAACTTCCAGTGAGCTGAACTACCCCTGGCAGGGCAGTTATGGGGAACTACAGATGCCACGGGATTTCACAAGAGGATGGATGCCTGTCTGTTGTGTCTCAGAGTCATGAGACAAAAGAGATTTCCACCCTGACCCTGTGTGAGGACACAGGAAGGCTCCTACCCCCTCCATGCCTTGATTCCTCCTTCTCCAGCAGGACAATAAAACTGTTCCACTGACCTCCCAGCAATCCTAAACATCACTGCCTCCCTCGTTTCTTCATGTCACTGCTTCCCATTACACACAGCACTCTGTCTGAAAGCCTTTGGCTTGTTTTTCCCCCGAGCAGGGCAGGAACCCTACAAAGCTGGAGGCAATTTTCCGCCCCAGCCACACTCCTGCATGTTTTCATACAAGCAGAACGAGTCCCCTCTACCCCAGAGCAGATGCCCCTGACAGGTTACACCTGGGAGAAGTTTTCCTTCATTTTACAGCCTCCCAGAAAGGGTTGGGGAGCCCTGCCTGGTACAGCACAACACAAATCAGCAGCCCTTAAAATTAGAGGGTCGTTTGCACCACCTCCTTTTTGTTATTTATGTCTGTAGTTCAGCAATGACTAAGCCCAAAGAAGCCCCTCTCCAAGCTGCAGACAGGTTGTCACCCCAGGAAACCTTTCATAAAGCAACAGCACTCAGAGAAAAGCTTAATCAGCCTGTGGAGGCTGGTGATGGGAGAGCTGGTGAGTCCTGACAGCACCAGGCTGGTGTTACTGTGGAGGCAACTCACCTCTGGGCACTGAACTGTGCCCTACAGTGCCCTGCCTGCTTGGAGTCACTCCCTGCCCTTGGGGTTTATATGGAGAGCTGGGAGAAGGAGGTTTTATTCCATTTTTTTTTCATTCAGATAACTGGACAGAGGAGAGAACTGTCACCACGGGTGCTCAGTATTAACCAGCTGGAACACAGGAGCACCCATCCCCTGCCCTCCCTGTGCCAGCCCTGGGCATCACTGCCCAAGGCATTTAAGAGCAGCCTTGAAGAGAAAGATGCCGGTTCTGGGAGGAAGGAAGAGCTCCAGCTCCCTGCAGCTTCTTTCCACAGAGTGATTGTTCCCTGGGACTAGGTCAGGGTGGGCCAGAGAGCAGAGACAGCCTGATCCACACACCCCCCTGCCCTCTGTGCAAAGCAAACAAGGAGGCACCCACCTGTGATGAGGAAAGTGTGATCCTGCTGCCCAGGGCCCTTCCCAGCCTCGATCTCACACACGTTCAGCTCCTTCAGGGGCAGCAGCTCCTGCAGAGGGAGAGCACACTGCTATTTTTGGGGGCAGCTCTGCAGTCGGTGCCCCTTTGCCATGGGAGGTTGGAAGCCCAGACCCCCAGGTTGTTGTGGCTCGGCGCCAGACTGAAAAACGTGGCTCTGAGGGGAGGCATTTGTGCTCTGGATCCAGCACACTGCCCAAAGGAAGCAGGTTCAGCAGCTCCCTGGGGCCAGTGCTGCAGCAATCCTCTGCCACGCTGCTGGTTTCAGTTTTAAGAGGAACCTCAGCAAAACAACGGTAGTTTAACACAAGAAACACAGAAGATGGAGTTGACCATAAAGCATAACTGAGCTGTCTGGTTCCTACACGCTGGATTTTCAGTCTACCACCATAACAAAAGCACAGGAACAGGTGGCAAGTTTGTACTCCCTGTTTTGGGCTTTCTAAACAAGCTCCATAAAAGATGCTAATGGCTGTAATGTCTTGGGGCCAGTAATGGATCATTAAATCCCTTTTAATCCCCCTCAAATTAATAAACTAAGGAGCTGTTTATAAAGCAGGCAGGAGATTTGGTAATATTGTTTGTCTCCTGACATGTGAATTTTCAGTTGAAGGCTGGTTGGTGGGTGACTCAAGAGGTTGTATGACGTATTACATCAACGTAAAGTCACCTGCAAGACAGTTAATTATTTCTGAAAGGAACTAACTTTTATAACCATGTCCAAAACACCCATGCTCAGCTTTAATTACTCACTCCTGTGGAGGGAGAGCACATTCAGAGCTTTTTGTTTTACAATTGTGACTTCCTGATATCTGTGATTCACCAGCATCATCAGGTTAAAAGATTGATTGGCAGTTTGCCAGGAGAGCTCCCCAGTGCTCTCAGCTTTTTATTTCCACCTCCTCCCACAGGTTAATTCATGGTGGAAAAGTCTTCTAAGATTATCAGCTCCAGCCTGCAGGTGAAAAACTCCCCCTTGGTCTAGAAGGCAGGGCCAAGACCACCACAGGCACCAAGGCCAGTGGGGATTTGAGCTGTGGGAGCCCCTGTGGGTCCCTGCCAAGGCTCAGCTCCCTGTGCTTGTTGCTCACAAAGGCAACTCCAGGTGGCCTGAACCTTCTCCCACCCCTGGCCCTGCCTGCCAGCCCTGCACAAGCCCCTCTCCCACCTCTATCTCTGCCCACAGGCAAGGCCAAGGACTCAGGTGAAGCTGAGGTTGTCTGGGGGCAGGCCTTGGGGAAAAAATTGCCCTCTTTTGCCAGGATCTTGGCATGCACCATTGGAAGGGCGCATTCCCATGGGAAAGGACATGGTGACATCTCTTGGAGGAGGCCAGTGGAGCCCCAGGAGCAGAGCCCCCTGTCCCAGCCCATCTGCCCAGAGCCACCCAAGTGCCCAGTGCTTGCCCTGGCACATCCAGGTGATGCCCTACCTGGTGGGTGAGTCCGTTGGAGCCCATGGACTGGAAGAACAGGTAGGACTGGAACAGCTCCAAGAAGCAGTCGTTGACCTCCTGCAGGAGAGACACGTTCTGGGGGTTATCTCAGGACACCTCTCTCCCGACTTCCCTCTCATCTCAGGCTGATCCCTGCACAGGAAAGCTCATCCAAGGGCCACCATCACATTTCTGCAGTGGATCTGCTGCCAGCCCAGCAGAAGGGCATGGAAGCACATCCCAGTTGCCCACAGGGATGGGAGCTGGTGCAGGAGCTGCTACCTTTGCTCCACATGACAACACATCCCTGAGGCCACGCAGCAGCCCAAGGAAGCCTCCATGAGTCACGTTTCCCAGAATTACACTTTACTTCTCAGTTCTGCAGTGTCATGCCATACCTGGGGAGAGAAACACCCACAAACAGGTCCCTCAGTTGTACCTGGCAGTGCTGGAACCGTAACTTGACCTTGGAGTAATAGATCATTTTTCCCAGATTCCTGACAGTCGTTTTCCTTCGTCCCTTCTTGAACAGGCTGGGGAACCTCTGGTCCAAGTTTTCTTTCTGGTTTTCCTGGTTCTGAATGATCTGTACCAAGGATACAGGGAAAACAAATCAGAGGAATCGGAAGGTGATGCCTGGCACAGACGTTCCTAGAACATCCTCCCAAAAGGGATTCCTCGGAAAGGTGCCCTGGGCAGGTGCCCAGGATGGGCTGTTTGTTGTTGGGTCTCCATGCCAGCGTGGAGCTGGGATTCAGTTACTGCTGGGAGGAGACAGTGACCTAAAGGTGAGGTTTCTGGGTTGGGAAAGAGCCGGGGCAGAGGCACATCCTACTTTTAGGGTATCCCAGCTCCACGGACAAACCTCTTCCCATCCTCATCAAATCCACTGGGACAAGGACTGACTGAGGCTCAGCAAACACAGCACGTGCCTTTCACCGGGGGTAGTGGAAAGACACTAGAGGAGACAGCACTCAGGGCTGGGGGCTTCCCTGATTTCCTGGTTATGGGGGAATTCTTCCTTCCACCCCACACCCCTGTGGCACAGCACTGCTGTCACACTGCCTGGATACTGCACGGATCCCAGGGGTGAAAGGCTCTTCCTGCAGCTTTTCTGGGAATGACACTTTTATTTCTGGGGGCTGGTTGACTTCCTTGGGGAGAAGGATTCCCCACAGTTGCTGGGATATACACCAGCCTAGGAGTCCTAAATATCAGCTTGGTCAGACACTCCACAGACTCCAGGTGTGCATTCCCCAGCAAAAGGCAAAGGCAGGTTGGGAAAGGGAAGGTTTGGAGTGGTTTCACGCGGCTGCCCTGGGCTCAAACGGAGCGTTTCCAGGGATGAGCAGGGCGAGGGCTCAGCGGGATCAGCGACAGCCCCATCGCCCCGGGGGCTCCCGGCAGCGGGCGCGTCCGGCGTGTGCCCGCTGCCGGCTCCCTGTGCCAGGGAGACAGCTGCGTGTGCCCGTGATGGATGAGGAACCAGCACAGCTCACCGGGTCTGTCTCGCTGGGGCCTCTGTGACTCACCCCTCCGGCACGAGGTTAACCCCTCTGCCAGCCGTTCCCAGGGACAGCGCTCCCGATGGTGAACCGGGAACGAACGGGAGCCTGGAGCTGTCGGGGTGGGGGGCCCTTTCACCTGCAAAGCTTGGGCCTCGCTCAATTTAGGTTGCTCTTTTTAGGACGCGAGTTAACCCTTTCTCTGCTCAAAGGCTCCCTCCAGCTCTCCCAGCCATGGAACAGAACCCGCTGGCTGCCCGGCTGGAAGTCTCACTGAGGCAGCCCAGCGTCGGAAAAAGTTATATTTGAGCCACAAGCCACTGTCAGAGCAAAGAGCAGCTGAGGCAGCAGTAACAAAACACTGCTGGGATAAGGGCAGCCACCACAAACAGGGAGTGGGGAGAGGATGAAGGAATAAAATTATGGAAACGAAGATAAGGAACGACACCGGCTACCAGCTGCCTGGGCGATACCGCTGCCTGGAACGTGCCAGCCAAACTTCCTGGGAATAAATAAAGCACCAAAGGAGCAAAAGCAACCTGGGAGCTGGGAATCCAGCAGCACTGCTGGCAAAGAGCTCAGCCAAGCTGCCAGCTTCCACAGGGATCCTTTCATAGTCGGGAGGGGAGAGTTTCCACAACCACTGTTTATGTGGCAAGAAACAAGATGTATTCCCTCTCCCTAACCCTTGTTAGGGACCCCAGCAACCCCAGCTTGTGAGGGTTTGCAGTGAGACTGAGAAGACAGGTGGATTTAGTGGTTAAACATGGGACCAACTCCAAGACCACGAACATCCCTGAAATCTGCCCTTCCAGCTGCAGGCTCTCCTGACACATGCTACCCCCAAAACCATGGGGATGCCTCAGTGTGCAGCCAAAAAGAAAGGGATTTGTCCTTCCCTTGGAATGCTCTCCAGCCAGCTGCTCGCTCCCCTGGCTGGGCTGTGCTGGGGACCAGCCCCCTTCTCCCCCAGCCCCATCCTGACCAGCCCCATTCCCGTTAGCTCAGCGGTGCCACAGCGTTCCAGGCAGTGCAGATCCTTGGCAGCCTGGTTTCTCCCAGGGCTCGGTCTCTGGCAGTGCAAGTGCCCTGACATGTTCTCTCCCCCCTCTGTCTCAGATGCCTCATCCTACAGGTAGAGCAAGTTACTAATTAACCTGCAGACCCCAGTGACTCCCAGCTGAATCACTAGCCCAGGCAGCAGGAAGAGCTCAGCCTTGCAAGGCTGGTGCCCCGGGGCTCTGAAAGCTGCTGTTTAATGATAAAAGAAGCAAATGAGAAGCACAGCTCTTCTGGCACATCCTCCCCCCTCGCCTCTGCTGCGGCTCCACAGGAGCCGTGACTGGGAAGTGTGGGAATCAGGGCAGAGGGTGGTGGGAGCAAAAGGCACTGGCTGTGTGTGCCAGGCCTAGAGGGGGCTGGTTTTCAGGGATGTCACCTGCCCCAGTCCCAAGCTGCCTGCCATGGCCAGAGGTTTGGTGATCCCATCTCCTCGGAGATTGCATCAGAGCCCTGTGCTGACGGCTCCTCTCTGACCTGGCCCCACAGCACCTGGTTCTCCTCAAAATACAGGAGTGGGGAAGGGTCTAAGCCAAGGCTTCCTCTCCAGGCCACACAAGAAGCTTGTGGCTGAGCAGGGAGTTTGCATCCCAGCTGCCCCAGGCGAGGGTAACATCTGAACAACTGCTCCACCCTCCTTCCTTCCCTGGAGAGATCCCACACTCGTGTTCCTGAATGTATAAGTTCTTGGTGACCTTTGTGCCCTTGTTGTGCCCTCTTGCAGGATTCCTTCTCCAGGATGTGCTAACATGACAGCTCATCCTGCTTCCCCAGGGGAAGCATCCAGGATCCATCTGGGCCCTGGGCTCTGCTGCCTGGCCCTTCTGGATGCTAACTGGTTCCCACAGGGAGCTGTGCCTTCCCTGAAATTCCCTCTGCCTGGCGTTGAGTCCCTGCCTCAGTTTGCCCTTCCCCACATCCACATAGCCTATTTGCCATGCAGCAGGAGAGATGCCTGCCAAGCACAGCCCAAAGGGTCCCAAAATTCCATCCACATCCCTGTCCCAACCCAGAGGGACCGAGAAAATACACCAGGGTTCATCACTTCACCCCTGCTTTCCCTGAGCAGTACTGGGAAATGGGCCATATGGCCACAAGGCTGGTACGTGCCTGGGACAGACCTGCCCTTCCTGATTGCCTTCCCAGGGCTCCTTGCTGACAGACTGCTCCATCTCATTCCGGCGTGGGAATGAATCATTCCACCTCTGAATGCTCGCTCGAATTTTCCCTTCCCTCACAAGGCAGCCCAGAAAGAGCAGAACCAAGAGCCAAGTGGGGTGTGAGATACCCCTGCTCGGCTCCCAGCATGACCCTCCCACCCCATCACACCTTCTGGCTGGTGGGAGGTGCCCCCCACACCTTCCTGGGGACCCTGGGGCAGATAATTCTGCCGCTGTGTGAGCACAGGGCTCATCCTATCCTGGGCTCCAGCCCTTTGAGGCAGAGCTGCTGCTGCCCCCAGATCCAGACCCATCGCCCTTCTTTAAGTGCTGTCCTTGGGCTGGGTGGGAATAAACTCTTGGAGCAGTGGGGAAAGGGGCTTGGATGTGTTTGTACTTGCCTTTGCTGGAATATACTGCAGGATTTTGTCTGTGGTCGTGTCTCTCTCCTGCCCTCCTTCCAGACCAAAAAAGCTGGGCAGTTTTTTCTTGCCATTTTGTCTATAAAAGGGAGGGGGGGAAAAAAAAAACCCAAATCAAAACACACGTGGAAACACAGATCCAGGCTGAAGCACAGAGAATTCTGCCCAGAAATGAGGAAGCCAGAAAACTAAGCAAGCAATTTGTCATGGGTTTTCTAATCATCCCAGCCCAGCAAAGGGCTGAAAAACAGCCTGAGAGAATTGAAATGGGGGCTGTGCTGCACTTGTTGCTGTTTCTTTGGGTTTTTTTCACAGGTCTTTGCAGAACCAAATGATCAGTTTGGCTCGTCTGTGTCTCTGAATCAGCAGAGGGACCAGATGTTCCACTGCAAAACACGAAGACCAAATCCAGCCCTGACAGCTACTCCAGAACCCCTGGAGTGGGGATGCACATGCACAGATACACCAACAGATATTCACAAGGAGGTTTTTATTTCTGCCTCTGTGGTTTTCCTCTCTCTTTCCTTCCACTCCCAACCAGGGCCCCGGTTCTCCTTTGCGTGCACACACCATTAACACGCCGTTACTGGTGCTGTTGAGCTGCACTGGGACCGCCTTGCTGGGGCTTCCCAGCACTTGCTGGGACTCTCAGATTGCGGCATTTGTTTCAGCAGAAACCAGGCTTATCTCCACGGAGAGCCCTGAGCGTGGGAAGCCGGGAGCCAGCAGGGACAGGGGGTGCTCTGGGGCTTGGCTGCTCCACCACAGGTGGGATGTCAGCCCTCCAGGGTCCAAATTCCCCAAGTGATCCCCTCTTTTTCGTCCCACAGGAGCTCCACAGACTCCTACAGGTTTCCTCCTGATTTATGGCAGCACAGGAGACCAAGGGGACAGTTTAGTGTCTCCTCTTGATTAGAAACCCCTCAGCTTGCAGAGTTTAGAGGGTCTGTCTCACAGCCCAGCACAGACAGAGTGTAGACAGGGCTGGCAGCTTCACAGGGAATCACCCCCATTCCCAACAGAGCTCCTTTCCAGCCCAAAGTGCTCAGGATGGGGAGGGATCTGTTCTGTGCATGTGTGGGTACTGGCAGACCGCGCTGATGAGAGCACAGGCAGTGGAAAAGCAAGGAAGCCTGCTGTGCATTCCCTGGAAAGCTCTATTTTGGGACAGCCACCCACAGCTGTGGTACCTGAGCGCTGCCCTGGCCAACCCGAATCCCCAAAGGGTTTCACAGACATTTTCTGCTATTCCTCCTTCAGGTTTACAAACACAGCTCAAATCACTCGTCAGAGCGCTGGGATTTGGGGTTTTCTCTCCAAGAGAGCGTGAAAGTTTTTTTTCCCCCCGACAAGCACCGCGACTCCGGGCGTTGTGAAGAGAGAAAACCACCAGCGAAAACAAGGAGGATCAGGTGTTCTGCACCTTGCCCTGCCTGTCCCGCAGAGAGGAGTTCGACTACCAAAACAAAATTAAATAAATGGTGTTTCCCCTGGGGGCTGCTGTTTCCCCTGGGAAGCTGGGATTCCCTGCCGGCAGAGGATTCCATCCCAGGCGCTTGGGGCGAGCTGATCCCGTCCGGCGCTGCCCAGCACCCCACAAAACCATGAAACACCGAGTGTGAAATATGAAAATATGAAGGAACTGCCAGGTTCCCCGAGCAGGGGCTCAGCTGCCAGCCCGGATCCGCACGGTGCATCCCACGGGGCAAAGCCAACCCCCACGGGAGAACCATCCCGGAACGAACACGAGGGTACTCACGCTTTCTTCAGCGAAGGCTTCCTTCGGAAGGAGCTCCTGAAGCCCCCAGGTGCCTGCGGGACACACGCGATGTTCCCCATGCCGGGAAGCGCCGGGAAGCGCCCGGAGCCGTGGGGAGCTGGAGGTCGGTCTGTCTGTGGGATCGTGTCACGCCGGCGTTCCCTCCCTTCCCTTCCGCCCGCCCTGACTCGAGTGGGTGTGGGCTGAGCCAGGCTGAGCTCCCTGGCCGGGGCTCCCGCCCCGCTCGCTGGGAGGGGCGAGCCAGGTACATGTTCCCTGTGACGGGGAATTAACCACGGAATTACAAACCCAGCGGTGCAGCGCATGAACATTCCTTACTGTCCCCCAGCACGGAGCTGCAGCCACTAATAAACCCATCTGGAGCGTTTTCCAGGAGGGAATCCGATCACCCTTCAGCCCGGACGGAGGGAAATAAGATAATATTGGTGGTTATTGTTTAAGCATTAACAAAAACCTTTGAGGTGGGTTGCTCAAGGGTTCAAAAGGCTGCGCTCGGAATGGGCGTCCGTTAAAAAGAAGCAGCCGGGTTAAAGGTGTGGAAATAAATAATAAATAAGCTGTGCCAAAATATGGGAAATAAACAGGGGAAATCTAACTGAAATCTAGGAATTATGGAGAATTGACAGAGGAAGCGAAGAGCGAAAGGAGATGCATGACCAAGAAAGCTGAAATTTGTAAAGAAATGCTTTAAAAGGAGGAAAACAAAAAAAATTTATGGTATGATTCCCTTACTGCGTGGAAATATAAATAATAATAATGAGTAGTTAATGACAAAGCAAAAGGTAAATATTTCTGTGCAATGGATTGAAAAAAACCAGGCAGTTACAGCTGTAGGGAACGGCAACACCCTTCTTCATTCCGTGGTCAGGTGGCTGTGAAAAAGTAAACACAAAACTGAGATGCTCTGGATCAGAAAATCCAGAGAATTCACGTCAAAGAGTTTTAAAGACCTGAACAAAAAGGTTCTGGGTTGCAGGAAGTCTTGCAGCACCACGGAATTTGCAAAGAAATTGCATAAGTTAACAGGGATATCAGTATTTCCATGGGTAAAACAACCACCCCAGTTAATTACAGGTTTGTCAGTTGATGCTGATTCCTGGGAAAATGATGTAACAGCTGTGAGGGAGTTGGATTAACTTTAAGGATTACAGGAGGAGAACGTAATTAATACAAATCAACAGGGGGTTGTGGAAATTAGATCTTGTCAAACCGATTTGATTGATGGCACATTCGAAAAATAGATCAGATTTAGTTAATATGAGTAACAGTAACCCAAGCAGTTACCGTAAACCACGTGATGTGACGTATCTACACGTTACTTTAGGAAGGCCCTGAAGCACTACAAAGGCTGTAAACCCATAAATCCGCTCTAGGCTTGGCCAGCCAGGGAGAGACAACAGTGACTGTGAGCAGGGCCTGTCCTCCAGCAGCTCCACCTTGGAGCAGAGAGGCTGCAGGGATGTGGTGATGCTGGAAGCACCAGCGTGGGGAACGCACCTGGGACAACCAGCTGGGGCAGAGCACCAGGAGGGGTGCAGAGAAAGTGAAGGTGGACTAGCTGAAGCTGGAAACAAGCGTGCATTTTGACAGGAAAGGTTATTTTTTACTGCCACAACTCCCAGAGCGCCTGGTGAGTCCCAGGTGATTTCTGCAAGAGGGGATTTTTAAAACCAGGAGAGGATGTTTTCTTAGAGAATCTGTTTGAATCAAACTGAGATTGGCTATGTGAGGTCTTATGGACATATTGGGTGTGTTAGACTCTCTCTATTTGCATCTTACCTTGCAGAAACAAAATCAACATATTCCCCAAAAAGGTGATTGCACGAAGAGAGCAGCTGATAACAGATATGCCATAAAATTTCTCCAAGCCTTCCCCATCTTTGACCTTTAAAAACAGCCTCTTTGTTCCCCTCCCCTTTCTGTCATATAATCCATTAACCCTTCCTGGCCAAGCAAAGCAACAGGACACCCCTCCAGAGGGCCCCGGTCAGAAATTCCCCAATTTTTATGGCAGGGTGCTTCTGTGAGCTCTGTTCTCTCTGCACAGCTGGGAAACGACTATCTGACAGCACAGCACCTCCTGGCAGAGATCAGAAATTACAGCAAACAGCACCAACTGTGTTTTATTCAGGAAAAGTGTGATTCCTCTTAAGATCCGTGGCTAACACGGTCAGACTGTGACCAGAAACGTGCCGTTCCTCCAGCATGTTTGTTCTAAATAAAAACCTTACACAGCTCAGGATGGTGACAGAACTACTGCAGGTCCTGCAAATAAACATCACTTCGCTCGCTGGGACACTGGTGACACCACCACAGATGGCAGGGCCAGGTGTGACCAGTGGCTGAGCACAGTCCCCTCTCTGCATGCTGGGCACACCAGCTCGAGGGCACACTGGCTCTGCTTCCAGGAGAACCTGAACTGGAGGGAAGCAGCCTCCAGACTTCAGGAAGACTTGTGGAGCACAGCAGTTATTTATAGAAGCCCCAAACAGAAGCAGGAGCCTAGAGAGCAGCAGGAAAGGGGACACGGGCAGGGCCAGGCATTCCGACCGCACGGCATCGCGGCTGAACCGCGGCACACACGCATGGGAAAGTTCCCTCCTGGGCCCCATGGGATGCTGCCAGGCAGTTCTCATTGCCCTTCTCACCCCCTGCACTCCCCACACCGTGAAATGGGCTCGGCATTTACCCCCTGGGAAGCAGGGACTTGGAGCAGTTGGGAAGCAGAATGGGGCCGTCCAGCCCCTGGGCGAGCTGCGTGTGGCAGCTGGGGGTGCAGGAGGATGTTTCTCATCTGGTTTTCATTTCTACTGCAGGAAAAGCTGTCAACAGCACTGGGAGTCCTAGGGAGACCAAACTGGAATTTAATGGGCAGGGAGAGGTGTAAATCAGCCTGCCCTCTGAAGCCTCGATGCCTTGAGTTGGGTTTTTCCCAGTGGTCTCCACCACCAGTAGCATCTTTGCCCTGCTCCTTCTCTGGGCTAGAGGGAAGGTGTGCAGAGTGGTGGACGCTCCCAGTACAAAACATCCTCTCTGGGAACATGAAGCCCCTTGTCCACAGGAGAGCAGCCCCCCTGCCCAGGCATCCAGCACCATCAGCCTTCCATGAGCATCCTTGCCTGGGGATCCTTCCCTTCCTCTGCCCAGGGCAATGCAGAGAGTGAGCCAGAGAAATGAGAAGGAAGGAAGGATGCAAGAGGCAGGATCCAGTATTCAAGAAAATGTCTTTATTGTACATGTTGGCTTCTATTGCTTGTATCCCCTCCCCAATCCCATGTAGTGCAAAAAATTCCGAGAAACAGAGTTCCACATAAATAAGTCGGATAACTTACAGAGAAATCAAAGTGACGACGGTTTGACATGGATTGGACCAGGTCTGCCCAGCAGCAGGAGGACCAAGGGAACCTCTGCACCCTCGTCAGGGCAGGGGCTCCTGCCTGGCCTTGCTGCCTCACTGCAGACCAACACCGGGGTCCCTGGGCAGAACTGGAGCCCCCCTCCTCGGGGATGCCCCTCCTGCTGGGAAAAGCTCACATGGGAAATCACACAGATAAACGTTTTGGGTGAGACACCACGAACTAAGACTGGCAGAGAAGCCACACACAGAAGTTGATGGGTTCTCCTCCCCTCAGACAGGGTACTACGCACAGACAGACAGACACAGACACGCCCCCTGCGAGGTCTCCTCCTTCTCCTCCTCCTCCTCCTCCTCAGCAAGGGACGTGCAGCACCAGAAGCGATTCCACCCTGGCATCCCCCAGGGCAGATGCTGACACCTCGTGTCCACACAGTGTGGGTCGGGGTGCTCTGGACCCCCACAGGCTGCTGGGGAACTGTTTTGCCCTTTCCTCTCTTCTCTCTCTTGCACAGTGAGCACCTGCATAGTTAGCACATCAGAGACACCAAAAAAGGCTCCCTCCTCCCCGGGGCTCTGCTGAATGGGCTCAGTGGGATATTGCTCAGGGCCCAACCAAGAAGGGGCCAGGAGTCACACTGCCCCTCTCCCTGACCCCTGGGAGGCAGGACAGCATCACACACCATTTTCAGTGTATGGAGGCCAAGGGCACATGGCACAGAAATTCTCCTCAGCTGCTGCATTTCTTGCTTCCCCTCTGGGTTTGCTCCCAAAGCAGTGGCCCCCCTTCATGCTACAGCAGCCACAGCTGGACCAGATGCTGAACCACTGCTACAACAACTCATTCCTTGTTTGAAACCAGCCCTGTTTCCCCTCCAGCAGTTCCTCCCTGGCCCTGCAGTGCCCCTCTTTGCTGTGCCATGCTCCCTCCAGCAGCCTGGCTGGGCTTTGCTCTCCTTTTGCCATTCCTGACTCCTGCTGAGTTCTCAGCAGGATCTTGGAATGTTAGGCTAAGCCCAGCACCAGCACCTTCCACCTCTGGCACGGCCATGGGGCCATTGGGCTGATCCTCCTTCCAAGAGGACCCTGGAGCCAGGGGCACCTTGAGTCGATACCAGCCCAGCAGAAGAGTAAAATCCTGATGTTGGTTCTAGGAATGGGATGGGAAGGGTTGAACCTTGCTCAGGTTTAGGCACACGCACTAAACAGAGCAGATTTTGTACAAAGCAGATTCATCTGACCTTCTTAGGGCAGCCCACACAGACCAAGAGACAACCTGCACAGAGCCTGGACATCCACAGACCCCTCTGCACTACAGAGGAACAGGAGAGCTGTGACAGGCTGGGCAAGTGAGAGGGGGACAAAAAAGCAAATTTAGAGTTCTGTTCTAAAAGCCAAAAAGGCCTCCTCAGCCTGAGAAGACCAGGCTGTCCCTGGGGACTGGGTGGGGAGGGAAGCAGCTCAGGTTTTCAGAAGCTGCTGGTAATTTCAGGTGCCCAACGTGAGGCACTGTGAGTGGGCTTGTAAAGCATGTCAGTGGGCTCGTAAAACATGCAGGCATCTGTCCAGGAGAAGTCAGACCACCAAACAAATTGTCTTAAGCTGGGAAGTCCCTGTTTCATCTCAAACTCTCCTTTTACACACCCCTCCTGCCCCCCAGAAAAAGAAGAAATCTCTCGCCACTTGAAAATTCAGGCCAACAAA